CGACTAGAGTTTTGCCGTTGCTGGTCTTCGTAATTTGAAGCCAAGAAGATGAAGATAGTATGTTCCTACAACATGCTGGAACCTTCTTTCACGTCCACACAGCTTTATATCCAGAAGATCAACATCAACATCTTTATCGCCATAAGGAACTCAATTCTAACAACGTGGACAGAGAGACGGAAACAGCATTCGGGCAGTTTCTGGCGTCAAGCGAGCCATTAGTGAGATTCTTACCCCCGGGGATGAAGCGGCAAGTATCTAAGTCATCGGTCATCTTATATCTAGTGTCGAAATTTGCTTTGAACTATATTTTCACTCCCCCATACATTTTCATGGTAAGGTGATTAGTTAAGTACAAGAACAAATATAATTTTTAAAAACACGAATTCACAATTGGCAAGAAATAAAAAAAAACTGTCATAAAAAGGTAATCCGTGAGTTTCAAACGACCCCTCACCCAACCACTTCGTATGCATGTGCCACAATGGCGTCTCTAATTTACAGACATGGGTGAGAGTCACTAAAATGTTTGGCTAACGAATCGTATAATTATATCGGATAAAAAATGTATCTTCGTGTTGGAGTTGCGCACTCGAAAAGAGAGATAAAGCACAACACAACCACTGTGGTCACACAACGATGTAACAAGTAGTAAAACTTTATTAGCTATTACGAAATCAATACATGTAAGGCTTTTTGTCATCACAGTAAGATTCGCTGCATCTTTAAATGCAGTATTTTTACTTTTAACATTTGAGATTCTCACGAAGGTGAAATATCAGTTGTGGTCTTCAGGGTTGAGACGTCTTGTAATTTTGTAGGCGGTTACCACGATATCATAACCCAGAAGGCCACAATCGATAATTGGTACTTAATTCAATAAAATAATTGTCGGCTCCTCGAACGGCATATCCCAACACGATATTCAGAGCCAAAAATATTCTAGTTTTCCTCTATACTTGGACAGGTACGTCCATTACTTTTATAACGCATAGACAATGCTTTCCAAACATTACTTTAGCCCAAGGTTAATTATTTTCAAAGTAAAATAAAATGTAATTATTAAACAACACTTAAGTAAACGATTCCTAACGTTAACTAACATCAGAAATAATAGCGTTAGTGGGGGTAGGGCTTTAATGTTAAATATTTTAATGAGGCTACGGTGGTATAAATAGTATTAAAGTTTAATATTGACGGTATTAATAATAAATAAATTGCAGTCTTTTGCCATATATGACAGTACTGAACGTTTTTGCAGTTGATCAGTTGTCGTTAAAAAAAAATGCATTTAACTTTATAGAGAATAACCATTAACGTCAGGCATATTGTTTGAACGTAAGACTTCCTACATCGTAAGTAATTTGAAAAGAAATGTTTTTACGAATACATAGTATTGCATATTGTTCTGCTACTAATCTGAAACAAAGCCTCCTCCCGTCTGGTAACTATATATACCAATCTCCCAACGATATACGTAGTGTATGTGGTGATTTCGGATAACATTTGTGCAGAATAAGTGAAGAGTGTTTCAATTTAATATCACAGTTTTTAATAAAGTATTATCATTTGCTAACTAGACCTGTTTATTTTTTGTACAAATAGAAACAGAATAAGAACTAGGAATATGTACGAAGTTTAAAAAATTAATGTGTGAAGAGAAGGGAAATAAAGATTGTCAGAATATCTTTTAACAATGAACCTCAGTGGGGACCTTGATATAAGCCCACGAAGTCCCTAACGTATGAAACAGCTTTGGGGTGAATTAAAATAAAAAAATAGGCGTCTACTGAATTTATAAAAATGACACCACCGACTGTCCAGGTTTCTTCTGAGTATTAAGCCTATTTGTGCTGAAAAAAATCAGATTTATTTATATGTTATTTGTTTATTTATAATATTTGTCTTCAGTCTTGTTTAATTATAGCGCATTACACGTACAATCTTCAGTTGCATCTAGGAATTTGGCTGAAGAAATTGAGGTGCAAAAGACCTTAAGACAGGATAATATATACTCGGCTCAGATTCGAACTAAACACGTTGAGATTATAATAGAGTCCATTACATATGTTGTTAGTAATGTGCATAAATATTCAACATTGCATTATAGCGTTTTATTCTAAAGTCTCGCAGTAATTTAAGCTAAAATAAGTTTCGGTCGATTTAATAAAGAACTTGGCGAGTGTCGTATCTCGGTTTTCCGGCTTGTTAAGTTTAATGGGAAAACCTGACTTGACATGCCATTACTACGAAACACAGCAAAGAATATTACTATGTTCAACAACACATAGAAAGCCTGAGAACAAAACATGATTGACGGTGTGTGACTTACTGAAATGAACTTGGTCTACATGTAGTTTTGTCAACAGCGAAGTAGGTATAAAATACGGATTTGAAAAAAAAGTAATAAAATTCAGGCTATATGATATTTGAGGTACTCATCAGTAGCGATAAATATGCTGATGTTTGTCTTTTGGACAGTGACATCGTGAGAACTTTTAGGTACAAACATATGTATCCCGTTTTACCAGGAACTGGCAATGGAAGATTTCGGAGTTTCCGCCTTGTTGACTTACGCTGTACAGTAGGTACAGTGCTTGCAGCCTCTCCCTTGTATGATGTAAACATTCACGGGCGTCCTCCTCAGAAATCGCTAATTTTTGGTCAGACGGGATATACCGACGTTTGGTAGAAACACATTGCCTCCAGACTACAGCGGCATTACAACCCAGAAGACCAACACCAACAAAACGGGTATTTTTAAATATGCGACACCATCTTGGGTGTTTGTTCTGTGTACAGAAACGAAAAATGTCTGGATAATCTTGGAGTCTTTGTTTTCGAGATAAGGCCCATTTAAACAGAAAAGACCCTGACAGTGCTGTCTATGCATTGGCAAATCATGATGGAGCGAGTTAATTCTTAACACGCCTGGAATTTATTGGCGCGTCCGACAATCTTTAATGAGACGCGCAGTGCGCTGTATGAAAACACAACAACACTTTAAGAATTTCTTGAATTTTTTTTTATCAAAAGAGTAAATTTTAACGTAATCAGCAATTTATTAAAAAAAACCGCTTTCCTGTTGAAGGGTTTACACATTATTTTTTATCCTCCTCCTTTCAAAATAAAATGGACCACACCTCAAAGACGAAGCATCCAAGGACTTATATTTATTGTATATTTAAACATACTCCTATACTATTTGACCTGTATAAATCTACAAGTTGTTCACAATCCAATCGTATGTAGGCTACTCCATCTCACCTAAGTTCAAATATTTTCTTGAGCACTTTCTATTCAACTAACTCAGTCCTTCAAAAGTTTCCCGCCTGTATTGGAGCCCGATGATTCATAAAAGCCCACCGGCGCGCTGGCATCTACAATTGACCACATGAATATAGACCACACAGTCGCAGACTACTTTTATTAGGTCCACTTTAATATTATACTTCTACGTTTGCCTACGTCTTCCGTGTCGTTTGTTTCCTTCCCTCTTCGCAACCAAAATTGTGTACGTATGTCTCGTATGAAGAATCGCGCTACACGCCCTACCCATCTCATCTTCCTTGATTTAAAAATATTTGGTCAAGAATACAGGATCCCCAGTCCGCAGTTTTATTGAGTCTCCCGTCACATCGTCTCACTTACGAATACAATCGGTTCTTAACTGCTTGAGAGAAAAAATTCCCAAAATATAATTTGCTCTTAATTTCTTCGCGAGTGAAATTTCAATTTATTAAATATTTACTGTTCGTTTTTAATTTTTCCACATCATCGAAGGGTGTATTAGGTATACATTTGTTTTCAAACACTTGTAATCTGTATTCTTCTTTCAAAGTACAAGAAACGTTTTACAACCTTACAAAATAACAGAAAGAGTCTTAGAAGCAAACGGGATTTTAAAAAATTCAAATTATGAAACTCAAAGACAACAAAGACACTTGCGAACACGATTAACCTTAGGCTAAGTTCATATCAAGGTTTGACTTACGGATATCTGTAGATTAAAGTGACAACGACGGTGTTCCGTCCTAGAGGCGCACACGTCTTGACCTGCAGCGCTTAACCGCGCTCCATGCTCTAACTGCAATGGACAAAACACAGACTGCCTCACTACATCGACCGCTGCCAGCAACATGGCGCCCCAAGCACGCGCCTCGTGAATCGCCAAAGCCGTGACTCTACAGTGACAAACGAGGCGAGACTCTCTATCACGATATACTATCGTCGATTTTATCCATGGCAATCACATTTGTTTAATCTCAGTGACCGCGTGGTCTGAAGCGTGGGTCTTGGAAACTGGGATCGTGGGTTTGAACCCCACTCAAAGTATGGATGTTTGTCAACGTCTTTCTGTGTTGTGTTAACTGTGCAGTACAGGCCTTGCGACTGGATAATCATTCGTCCAATGACAAACAAAGTCATAATTTTGGAAGCAATTCTGAATTGGAACATATCACAAGGCCTATACCATGTGCGTAAACACCTGGACGCATACACGCATAAGAGTCTACCATTGTCTCCCGAAGTATCGCGAACTGTCCTGGGAATATACAGGGTTATTCATAATTCCCTGACACATTACAAAAATCGCTTGTCTTCAATGGTGCAATGGATGGTAACATAGGACATGCCGATAGAAAGAGAAACTCTCCAAGTTTATTTTACATACCTCATAAATGCGCGATAACCATGCTGCTTCATTGGCCACCCCGATCACTTGACCTGACGTCATATGATTTATTTTTATGGGGGTACATTAAGGACCAGGTCCTTGTACCGCCTCTGCCACGGGATCTGCCTGAACTACGAAGACGAGTCATCGTTACCATCTCACAAATCGATCGTGACATGCCGCAGCGGGTATGGGTGGAAATGGATTGTCGGCTTAACGTCTGCTGCGTCACAAATGGCGGACACATAGAGCATTTATGAGGTATGTAAAATAAACTTGGAGAGTCTTTCTATCGGCATGTCCTATGTTACCATCCATTGCACCATTCAAGTCTAGCGATTTTTGTAATGTGTCAGGGAATTATGAATAACCCTGTATAGTACTGTAGGGAACAGATTACTTGCGAGTTCTGATCACGGGGTAAAGAGCAAAGGTATAACCACTGTGCGAGAACCTACACGCTTTTTATATCCGTTTAAAAAACATTTCGTTGTTTAAAATCGCAATAAGCAGTTAAAACTATAAAATTTATGTTGTAGACATTGTTAGTGCTATCCTTTAACGATTCTGCGATAAATATAATTTTCCCCACCCGCGCCCAAAATTATCTTTATGGTGAACCCCTACATTGATACAGTTGACAACAAAATCGTTTTTTTTTAAAACAGCCATCATGCTACCTGACCGTTCCGTGCATTGACCAGGCCGTGCCGAATGGACATTCACAGCACCACGAAGCTCAGCAAGGAATGTGGTCCCAACAGTAGTTGCTATGACGTATCAGAACGACTGAAAACAAAGGCATAGTATCGTGCGTTAAGCACAGTGTACGTGGAAATCGATTTAGGCTGCGTGAGAGTATCACAGCCCTTTCTTCAACATGAGCCAACAACTCACTGAATTAAACATGAAGATTCAGGCTAGTCATTTCCAAAGAATGATACAGTTGTTTCAGTCAACACATTCTCGACCTCAGCATTAGATATATATATTTGTAGTCAGCTTCACGCCTCAGTCCCCTTAGCAGCAGGAGAAAGAATCCCTGGATAAGGGTCTGGAAACGTTTGGATTTCCCGAATGCTTGCATGTGACCCCCTTCGTAATTTTCGGTTAAAGAGCTGAGGAAAATATTTTGATATGGTAACACCAACTTCCATTCCTGAATTTTCTTCGTTATTTTTGTCGTTTTCCATTGGATAATACCGAGTTTTCTACTCTATTCCAACGTTTCTTATATAACTACCGACAATTCTCGTGTGGCATGAAAACAATGACATGTTCCTCACGGCATTCATTCTTAAATACAAATTTAACGAATATTCAACCTCGTGAATCTGTCTTCCGTATGACGCTGGGGCAGTTAACGAGCGGGCATTGTAATTAATGCTGTGAAATCTGCCAATAACTGTAATATATGGAACTGGTATTTATGAAGTCGGACTGATAATCGTCGTTGATGGAACCCCGGACAATGTACATCCGGATGAACAGAATGGAACGCCATCATTTGTAACAGGTTATACGGAGTGGCATCAAGAGCATATCAGCATTGGAGACGAAAAACACAGACATTCGGCTATAAAATATCGCCCAATTGTATCACTGATATTTAAAAAGAACGTTTTAATTAGTAGTGTAACTTCACATTTCAATGTAAATGTATGCATGACAATCTGTGATACAAACAATAGCAAAATATGTTTAAGACACGATAATTAGGTGCTGGAAAAATGAAAATTGTTTAAACTAATAAAAAGATTCAATGTCGATATGAACCAGTTATGGTATCAACATGAAACTTCATTTCGATTGACACATCCCCAAGTATTAATTCCATGCAGTAAAATCCTTCTTAATAAAACTAATAATTACTCAGATATTAACGAAGTTTAAAACCCCTTTACGGAACCCGATAGTTCATTACTGTGTTACAAAAGCCAAATTAATACAGCACACACCCTCATACATAATTTGTTAATAGACACCAACGTGTTGTCTCAATTTATGGCTGAGGCATTTGAAATGTAAATTCGTCTTCCTACTAACAACCAGTGACGCTGGGTCGCTGCATGGTTTACGTAAGGGCCGTTTCACACTGTCGACCGGTCGTTCAGCTGAACGACCAAAACCATCAGCGACCAAACGAGGAGACCAGCAGGGCGACCAGCGCAGACAGAGGCCTCAGGGAAAAAAAAAAAAAACTTTGGAAGCAGTCAAACAGTATGGACGTCGAGGAGATCACTATAATGATAAAAATTCGTCAAACAATTCCACAACCTCTTCCCACTGACCTTTTTTCAACTCCCTGTTTGCATAATCGGGACTTGCAAGGTCAAAAATGGCTCTTCGTGACTCTACAGCCGAAATAAATCTTTCAGTATCAAAACGTATGATATCCTGATCACTTGAGTGACATGAACAAGACGGGAGAAAACAAGAAACAATGGATATGTCACCTCTCTGAGCTCTGGTCGCTGACTGAGTCGCCCGCAATGTGAACATGTGATTGCCATCTATGTATCTCGTGGTCGTTGGTCTCCTGTGCGTCGCTCACTGCTTGTTGGTCGACGGCGGCCATTGGTCGTACTTAGCTTTTCTACCCGGTGGTCGTCCAGCGACTGGTCGCCGGCGACCGATCGCCAGTGTGAAACGAGCCTAAATGGCCGTAAAACAAACTTGAGGTAAGCTGCTGCCTTGTAAGCTGTGAAATTTCACGACGAAATCGGTAACTCATCAACCATAAAAGTAAACTTCGTGTAAACTAAAGAAAACCTCACAAATCCGTGAAAATTTCGCCAGTTTATAGGAACACCAATAGCAAATTTTGCGTGAAAACTTATTCCGACAGCCCGCGTCAGCGATTCCGTGGGGATTTTCCACTATCAGACCTCGACACCATGATAAACGCCGTCCAACAGACACAATAAATTCATTCTGTTTTGTATTTTACCGATGGGGATACAGCACACGAGGAAATACGCGAGAAACAGAAGCTGGTGGTGAATTAGATGGACTAGGAAGGGCTGAAGTAAGAGAACGCGCAGGACAGAAAAAGACAGGAGAGAAAGAGAATAAGGAAAAAGGGGGAAAAGTTATGAGACAATGAGTGAACAGAACGACAGAACAGAGGAAGGTACAGAATAACAAAAAAAAGTTATGAGACAGTGAGTGAACAGAACGATAGAACAGAGGAAGGTACAGAATAACAAAGTGAAGGCAAAGAAAGGGAGGAGACAGACTGATACGAAGAAATGAGGATAGGGGAAAGGAAACAGATAAAAGGAAAGTGTAGGGGAGTAGGTATAAACAGGATGCAGTTAAAAAGCAAGAAAGAACGGAGGTTGAAGAAGAGAAGAATAAAGAGACACGGAGAAGAGAAAGATGAAAAATAGAATGTTACATTTCGTCGATGATAACCAGAAAAGTATAAATTCCCCCAAGGAAAGAATTCATCAGTCCATATGGGATTCATAAAATGCGATAAGCTTAAATTCAACTGACTTAGCTTCTTCCTCTTTAATTCCATTAGCTTTCCAAATGATCGGTGACATACAGGACTATGTCAGTATGACAAAAATTACAGCGTCTTTAAATATCTCACGACCATCCGCCTGTGCGCTGAAACCAATTTTATACCGCAAGACGCCATCCGTCAACACCACGCTCACGCCCAAAGCTCCGGCCAACACACGAACTTCGAGCTACAAATTACGCACTTCAAACATCCTCATGCAATTTACCCGAATTATTTTTTTCAGGCCTCGTAGTCAATACAACACATGTCCTGCTGACCGAAGACATTTGTAAAAATGTAACGAATGGGCCTGTTTACTATATTAATAGCCCCATTAAACCAATTTTTAACTTTATTTCGTTCAACTTTAATGTTAATTTTAAGCGCGTAGTTAGCGCATTCCACGTGAAATCATCCTGAATATGGTATTTTAAAATCGAAATATATTTCCGTTAATACACTGTTTTAAGACTTATACAAGTGTGTTGATTCCAGCACAGTGCTGAACACAGACGCAGACGCAAGCAGTGATCAATAGAAAGACAAATATTTTATACAGGAAAGACCTATATTTTCTTCAAACGGCATGTTGTTTTTGAGATAACTAAATCTAGTACCAGAATCCAACGGTTCAACAAAACTCCGAGTCAGTTCTTCATTAATGGTCTGCGAGGACAGCCAAAAGCCTAAAGATGAATAAGTCTTGCCCACGAAGCCCAAACAAGAGTGACAAATCAGTAGTAATGTGATATACTTAGTGTCGATGGTTAGGTACATACATATGACATGTTCAATGGCTTAAAGCCTCATATAGCTCTGTATGTCACTTCGTCCACTAGGAACCATGATATATAACTTTCGCGGCGACTAAATTCAATGAAGTCTCCATGGGCCATCTGCTGCGTCAGTCATCTCGGTCTTTATCATCAGGGATCAAATACTATGTCTCTCTCGAAACGTCGGCATTATCGGCCATCCGACGCGGCTGATTGCCCGTGAGACTACATTGTATCATTATTGCACTTTCATGGAACACAAATCCAAGTTCTTGTATTGTGCTACACGATTTTATGAGCACAAAACATGTTTACTTCCATCATTTTTAAAGTATGGTCAATGGCTTGTCTATTCGAACGTAGAAACCAAACTTGTTCACAAAATGGGCTCATTTCCGGTAAAAAAAAGTACACTAACCCTCTCCTTCCGAACCATCGGTCCCATCTACTGATACACTAATTTTGTACTTATAAAATAATATTAACTTACATATTTTTTGATGACGGTTATGGAGAATTTTCACAACTGCTGTCTTCTCTTTTGCCTACCGCCAACGATCTTGGAACAGATTTTTGGTCTTGTTTGGCAACATCAGTTGCACATAAATCTGACCAGACTGGACACAGCTGTCATCGAAATGGAAACCTTTCACATTTTGTGGAAGTTGTACTTCGCCGAAACAACTTATAACCTATGACGGTGCTGATAGTAGTCTGGCAGATATGCAGCATTCATCCCATTTCACTGCCACACGTCCACTGACAACTAGAATGCTGTTTTGTAACTAGCATCATATTGTGTTTACCGAATTTCCGCTAGAGGACGGTAGGTTATCTTCTTTCAGCGAACGGATTCTTCTCGTTACTTGACACAAGCCTTTCCAATTAAAGCATATGGATAACAAATAGAAAATACTAAATGATTCTTTTAGTATTTGAAAGGCCGTAGTCGCTATTTCAAAAAGTCTTGCTTCTTGCAAGAAAATAGAATGAGGCAAATGTCCTTGACAAACTAGTTACCAGGTACCACTGAACCATTCGCGGGGTTTGTGGTTATTTTTTTTTTTTTGTGCTAGGAGGTAAATACCATTTTGTTGCCTGGCATAATTGTCACCAAGTAGCAGTATATATATATATGCTAATGTTTATAACAATGTTCAATAAGTAACTCAGTACTAAAATGGACATGTTGCTCTTTATAGGTTAAGCACTGTAGTTACTTCACTGGATGTACATCACAATCATGATTCACACGTCCTTTTGATTACAATGTGTATTGCTGTATCCAATTCTTCTACAAAGAAACTGATACTTAATTACAATATATTTGAACACTGATTATGGCCCAAGCTGAGGGAGGGCTTTCTTAGCAGTTCACTCTTCCAACAGGATGCTGCACTACCAGATTTTCATTCAGCTGAGCGTTTCTCAATATTTAGCCATCTGAACAAAACCTTGGTTATCAAGATCCCCAGACATCACCTACAGGCTCTTGTTTTGTATTTTGTCAATGCTAATATCACAGCTCTTGCTGAAACTACAAGGCTGTATCTCAAAATAAATACAAACTATTTCTCTACATGTACAAAGTTCATTATTCCAACTGCACTGGCACATTAGATATAGCCATCTTAATCATTCTGAAATACCCTATATACAAACTGGATACCCATTCTTCAAGTGCCTGAGCACTGTGGGGGTCCCAACTTTTTGTTGGCCTGATGTATAGACATTCCGTAGGAATCCTTGGACGAGGGATCCGCCCGTCGCAAGGGCTCTACCTGTACACAGGACAGCACACCGACAAACATCCATGGCTCGAGTGGGATTCGAACCCAGTCCCAGTGACCAAGCGGCCCCCTATATACACACACTTTAAATGAGCAAATGTTACAACTCAAACACCCATATTTGATCTTCAGATCAACGCTACTCTCCTTCCTTACCATGTGGTTGATCAGTGAATATGGATGTCTACATGACCTTTACCTTTCTTGCGATATCTGGTCACACCTCAGAAAAATCAAACATTAATTCACGTATGTCTTCAGATTACACAAGATACATCACTTTCCTTAGCAAGCATCTGGTGCAAATAACTGTAATAAATTGGAGAAACAAGAAACATAAACAGTTGATTTTACAAGTGGCACTATGGCACCACCTGCAAATTTGTCAATTCTGGTTTTGAACCTAGAAAATTTCAGGCATTTTATTTTTGTTCAAGACTACTATGCACGATTTTTATAAAATATATGCTGCATGAAACAATTATAATTTTCATAAAAGTTAATGATCGTTTCTCCCTGCAACAAATACGAAGACAACACACTTTCATGATATCCAAATTACAAGGAGCTGAAACAATTCCAGTTGATCAATCATGTCACTATCCGATTCAGGCCTAAAGGTTTATGAAGTGTCAAGGTAGGAGACAGGTAGAACATGTTTGTTTAATGAACATCAATGAAACAGACTCCACAATTTTCACACATTTCATTTTGTACTAGCGTTAAGGAATAAAAACAGTGTTACAAATTATTTTATTTTACTGACCTACAACTATTTAGCCATTATGCAAGTCCACTTAGAGAAGCAAATATTACATAAATGCACGTCAATATCAATCACATGAATTCTTGATAAAAGATTATGCATGAAAGACAAATAAATTTGCTTTCACATGAATGACTTTTCAATACAAACAGGGAACGATGGGTAGAACCCCAGCTTACACATCCACGTGGTAACATTCATGAACAGAGCCTGCAGGGCCTGAGCTTTCCCCCTTACATTCAACCACACAGTGATCTGAAAAAGAAATGCAGGAAAGTGTTATCTCGCACAATTACCAACAGTTCCACATTTACTGCAATGATTTTCCTTAGCTCTTTAAGAGTAAGGAATGGCCTGATAGGTGTCTAAAATTATATTTCCGTAGTAGGATCTCACACAATACAACAGACTCCAGATTATTTGGATTGGTTGAGAAAGTTTCCTGGCAAATCCACAAAAGTAAAAGAAAAACATGCAAACATAAAAAATTCACAATTTATTTACAGACATACAAAGATTACTAATAACACAAAGGTTTTTATACAAAATTTAATACAGTATATACAAACCGTTAAAAAAGTCCAGTGGACAGTAATAATGTTCTATTGTTGTAAACTACAATGTTCAGGAACTGATATATGTTAATACATTAAAAATGTAATGTTCATTAGTTTCTTTTCAAATGTTCTAACCTTCAGAACAGAATGTTTGAAATTTTTTTTAAATTTTTGTTTAAAGCAGATACACCTCAGTTAATCCACAATCCGATTAATCAGGAGTATACTGTAACTAGCAGTGTCATGTTTTTTTGCAACCACGTAATTGTTCACTTTCCAATTTAGTGAATACATCTGACAAAGACTCACAGTATCTACTTTCTTTTGTTATAAAATACATTAATTTTTGGATTCACATCAACTGATAATCCAACAAATGCTTGTGTACAATAAATAATGGATTTAACAGCAATATTTCTGCAATTTATCTTATTAATAAAAAGCGACCAATTTTCACCTCGGTACGCATATCATTATAACATAACTCATACAGGACAATTATCAATCACAAACATATCATGACCTAATCAAAAGGCATTATCACAGCAGTTGCCTAATCTGAGGAAAACCAGAATAAGCAATCAGAATAGTCGGTATCCAACCCATGACATCACAAATAAGAAGCAGGAAT